ATTTCATAAAAATAGTTATTTTTTTATAAATTATAATAACGTCGTCAGTTAATTGAGAATTAAAATATTCGAATCAAGTTGTTGTTGTTGCTAAATTTATTAAAACCAACCATTACCGAAATAAAATTACAATTTATAAAGTTCTAGTTTTGTTTATAATACATTTTCATACTGTTTTACGAACAATAATATCAGAAAATTGACAAAAAAATTAAAATTTGCAAGATGATTAAGTTGTCGTTATTCGCTAATATTAACCCTATACAGTAGGCCCCGGATTGAGTTTACAAGAGGAAAAAAAATTATCTTTGATTTTACACCAAAACTGCAAAGGAAAAAAAGTTTTGGCTTTACTTGAAACCAACAAATCTGTAATTAAAACTTCATTATTCTAACTTAGTAGAAAGAAAAGTTCATTTTTCTCTCGATTTTGGACTTCTTTCTTTCTCTGCTTTTTAAGTCCTATTACATTGGCGGTTTTATTATTTTGACAATGATGTCACTTTGACAAATGAGTTTACGTAAGTTATAACAAAAATGTTTGTGAAAAACATAATTTTAATAAACAGCAACTCAAAGGAACAGCTTTAAGGTAAAAACCAAAGTCATTTTTAACAAGAACTATCATTATTTAATTAATAAATTAATTGTCAAAGTGACATATAGTTGTCAAATAATTAAAACCGCCAATGTGATAAGACTTAAAAAGCAGAGAAAATTTATTTTAAGTCCAAAATCAAAAGAAAAACTTTTCTTTCTACTGAGTTAGAAAAATGAAGTTTTAATTACAGATTAATTACAAAAACTTTTTTCCTTTGCAGTTTTGGCGTAAAATCAAAGATAAAACATTTTTTTCCTTTTGTAAACTCAATCCGGGGACATACTGTATATAAATATTAAAAAGTATATTTTCTCTTGAATATATATGATTTTCCCAATTTTGTCAGAAGTGAGAAACAATTCCTTACATTCATTAAGTATCTATCTTAATAGTTACATAAATAAAATTTGGGATAGGTAGGTCACGTCCAAACTATCGATTGATTTCGATTTCACTTTACTTCCTTTAATGACGAAACAATAGAAGATGTTCTTATGCGTATATATAGCCACCAACCAAAGTAAATTTATCAGTAGATCACTTATCTAAAGACGATAAACAACAAAATTTACAATGAATTACATAAACGTAAGTTCAAAAATCTATCATAAATAAAAATTTAAAAAACTTAAAATTATGTCAATTCCAGATCCTTACAACTTGTCTATTACTCCAAGTATCATTTATAACGGGATCGCAATTCCTGCCATCGGTCGAAGCACCTGTTGCATTTCGACAATTCCTTCCACCAAGCGTCTTCCCATATGCAAGTAGCGTCGCTACAGGAATTTTACCAGCACCTGGAGTGTTAGCTCCAACTCTATATTCGGCACCACTTGTTCCAAATGTAGCACCTGCCGTTGCTCGTGCTGTAGTTCCTCCTCCATTTGGATTTACAGGCCCACTTCTTCCGGCTCCTGCTGGACTGCAAGCTAGGTCAATTCATGCGGTGGCTCCTGCTGCATTTCCTGCAGCAGCACCGGCTGCTTATCCAGGAGTTGCACCCGCTGTCGCACCAGTTGCGTTTGCCAGGTGATAAAGCGATGCTTTATAGGTACTAAAAATATTGTACGTAATTTTATATGAAACCTACTTTTCCACAATAAAAATATACTTACCTAATATAAAAGTAACTTTTTAATATCCCAAATAAATGTCTAACAGATTTAAACATTAAGTGTAAACAATTCTAACAGTGGGACTTTTATACAGAACAAATTGTCAACAAAAATATAACAAGCAAGTTTCGATAAGTACTTTTCCACAATAAACATATACTTAATATAAAAGTAATTTTTAAATATCCCAAATAAATGTTTAAGAGATTTAAACATTAAGTGTAAACAATTCTAAGAGTGGGACTTTTATACAAAACAAATTGTCAACAAAAATATAACAAGCAAGTTTCGACAAGTACTTTTTAAAGTTATATAGCACGAATACAAAAGTAGGTACAAAGGTACACAATGAATGCTGATTTTTAGGAAAAATTTTTTGAGTACAAAGTGAATTAAACTATGTGACGGAATAAGTAAAAATTATAACCCTTTGGGCAGTTTTAACACCCATTCGTTGCTTGTCAGGATTCAAACCTTTCCTCGCAAAATAATGAATAATGAAAAATATAAATAGTTTTAAGTTTTAAATGTCCCCAACTAAAAATTTCGACATTTGATCTTTAAATTTGTTTAGGCGTATAAAGCTGGAATGTTGTATTTTTTTCTTTTTTCAATTTTGGGAGAAAACAATTAAAAACGCACTATTTTAGGGAGAGTGGCTCACTTATACAGTATGACGAAAAAAAGGCGCCCGTGTTAACCCACACGTTATAAGTGATCTTTTATTAAAGACGAATTCGCAGACCAAAATTGGATTTGTGCTCTTATCAGTAAGATATAGACTTTCCTTTTTAGAAAAGGAAATAATAAATAAATAATTAACAGTTTTAAAATAGTTTCATTGTTAAAGTCTAGATTTTGATACAGTTGACGGTGTTCTTAAAAAAAATGTGTAAAAAGTCTATTGAAATAAACTTTATTGAAGATGTTAGGATACCATTTCTTGGCTTAAAAGAAAATTTATCAATGTTGCAACATTGCAAATATCCTAGGATACAGAAAATGTCCAAGTAATATTCAATTATTGGAAACGGTAGCAACAAAAAAATCAATTTTCAATGTTGTTTGTTCCGTGAAATTTAAACGAATAAAGCCAAAAAGTCAAAGATTAAAAAAATTAATTGAAATCATTAGATACCTTTTGGTCGTATCGTATAAGAATAATAAAATTATGTGGACTTTAAAGTTTTTTATTTTATGCGGGTGACAATATCTGTCAGTACTGGTTTCCTAGATACCTGAGTGAAATAGTTTTTTAGTAAAAGAAAATTGTGCAATATTGCCGCATTGTGCTGTTAGACAAACTGTTTGAATTTTAAAAAGAATCTATTTAGACTATTTTATGATGGTCATAATGTTTCAATAAAAAAGGACGCGCCTGTTTCAATCGTGGGCTCCTTTTTTTCATCACCCTGTATAGTCTTTTTTAATTCATGTTCATAGGAAACTCTTGTCTTAGAATTGAATATTGACCTTATTATGGTATCTAATAAATAGTTGCTTTTAAAACACATTCATGGCAATTAAAGAAATTTTGCGTTACAACGTGATTTTTATTGAGAAATTCAGATAGAAGATAATAGCCTTGACCATTTACCGACCATGACAATAACCACTAACTCAAACATTGTATGTATTTTATAAATAAGTTAAGAGCCTAACACAAATTCAAACACTTTGTAGAATTAGGTGATTATCTATATACAGTATGTCCTTGTTAAGTTAACAAGAAAAAAATTATCTGTAGTTTTACGCCAAAACATTTTTGCTTAACTTAAAACGAGCAAATCCGTATTAAATATTTGGAAAAAATAGATAAACTTTATTTGCTAGTAGTGGTTTATCGGTCTTATTTTAATAATTTTATTTTTAAGCTTTAAAAATAATTAGCAATTATTATGCTATTATTTTAATATAATTACTATCTACAAATACTATAATTATAATATGTAAATTTTTAACAAGCTCAAGTTTTGTAATTTTTGAAACCTAGTTTTGCAACTTAATCAGTAATCACTAATTAATTTAACCATAGTTCTAAACAACATAGATTGTTTCAAGATTTTTTCATATCTCCTGACAATAAACATTTGTAGATATAGACAACAATATAATTTTTCTTTTACAAACCTCACATTAATTAAACTCAGTATTTTTTAAAAATAAATGGTTATTTAATCTTAAATATTAACACTGATCTGTTCGTTCACATTAGATAGGTTGGTAGGATTGTAGATAGAAATTTATTTAGACTTTTATTATTTGTAAGCACAGTTTCGTTTATTCTAGTGTTCCCGCAAGTAGAGTTCGAAAACACGTTCAGAGTTTTAGATTGGCTTTATTTGTTCTGATTTGATCTGTTCTGTGAAAACTGGCAAATTGATTTATCAGATCTTATTTATACAAGTATATTTCAATCTTTTAACTGGGTTAGATGAAACCGGATTATCAAGATTAATTATGTCAAGATATATTTATCACATTTGTCATTGCTTAGATAAATTAACACGTTATTGTCTCATTAAGTTTTTTTATGAAACAGTCATTGTTGCCCTATTTTATATAATTTCAAGTAATTTTAGAAATATGTGGCAATGAAAACGTAATTATTACATATAATCAATATGTTTTTAACCAATACTGGTCTTGAATCAGCCTTGAAAATCTTATTTATTAGGTTACCAAAATGGAATATACATCTAAAAATAATAATTAAGAAGATTCGAATTTTTTGATCATTGAAACATAGGACATAATCATAAATTACGTTTTTAGCTTTGGTGAATGTTTTTAGCCTTGCATGTTTAAAATTCAATATTTAAAAAAAAACATTTTACTTTTCTACACTTGTAGAAACAGATACTTTAATGGAAACCAAGAACTGTGAATTTGTACCAGAAAAAATAAAATGCTCTACAAACATTTCCTTTGCAAAAGTTATAGTGAAGTATTGTGTAGGTAATATCTTATGTCATTAGGACACAACAAATTCTCTTCACGTAGGTATACTAATTCCTAGAGCGTTACTTGAGTTACCTACGGTAGGTGTGTCCGTCACGGTCAGCTGGTGCACTTCGTGAAAGTAGAACAAGTGCACTTAGAATTAAATTAAATATACCAAATCTGTCTACCTTTATAGGTGATATATCTGATGTGACGTAACATTGTTACCGGTGTGCGGACATAGCGGACACTGCGAAATTTGCATTCGAGACTTTGTCTTGCATCTGAAACTATAGCCGAATTCACTTTCTACAAAGTTGTATAATTTTTCAAGTGCAATGCATAAAATGTTAAAAATATTTTGCAACAGTTAAAACGAGTAAAACGTTACATTTTTTATTAATAAATAAATGAAAATGAATAATAAATAATAAGAATTAACACAAAATTAAAAGACTTTTTTTTAGATGATTGATTTTTTATTTGTTTTCTGTTTTTAAAGTAGAACTTTTTGGACTTCTTAAATAATTTGTGGCAACGTAGGCATTTACTACCTAGCTTCTGTCAACAACGTTATAGAAATATTCTTCAAATATTTTTTTTTCATTTCACAGAGATGAAGAGTTCTTCTTTAGTTACATCAAACACATACCTATATTATTTAAACGCAATGAAAAATAATGGTTTATCTATAACATTTTCCATAAGCTGTAATAGTTGTTCGACATTTTGAGACAGTCTGTACATTTAAAATGACTGCTAGTGACCACAATTTAGAGAAGTTGTAGAAAATAATCTGCTTTAACAAAGCTAAATTTGTACATTGCTGTAATAATATATGTTTAACTTTTTTGTACTAATTATTGTCACAACAATAAAAACACAAATTCAACAAATCTAAAAGATGTTGTCCTTGCTACACTTATATCCACAATTTAGCCAAGAAAAAAAATGAGAGTTCTTATTATTGGAGGTTGTTTATTCTTAATACCCATGACTCAGTAACACAAAATGAGAACTTGTTAATGGTTGTTGCAATTTAATGAAATGAAAAATCTATTGACTCGAGGACTCTTAACGCTAGGTACATATTATAACACATAATTGGTTTGTTTTATTTGAAATGTGGCTCTAGTTCAAGAAAATATGAATAATGTACATTTCTTATTTGATAATTAGTTGGGTAGAGATTTATTCTAGAAAATCCATAACATTGAAAATGTATAAGTTTGTAGTAAAGGTTATATTATTAATGTTATGCATGCATACAAACCACTAAATAATAGTGTACAAACGTCTGGTTAAAGATAATAATTATTATAGATTGCTTAATGTTTAGAATATTGTATTTAGTTGAATGAAATTAGCACTGCCAATATACAGGATAGGTGTTAGAATAAATTGTGCAAGGTTAAATAACATATTGAAGCAATTATTAACTACATGAATATACTATGTGCGTTATTCCAACATCTAAGTATGTAATTGTAAAATTGAGCAAAACTTAAATAATAATATTAAATAATATTATTATTAAATAATAATAATGATGTTTTCAGCGTTTTTATTTGTAAGGTCGTATAATTTTCAATTTCAAATATAAGCTTATCAACTGAAAGCTCTCGATCTTGTAGCGAGAAAAGCCAACTCCTATTATCATAGCACTTCTTTCAAACTGTTTAAATTGGATACAAAGAGAATAAACGTCTTTCTGTTAGTTTCTTTGTGTGTACTTAATTAAATAGAGGCTGGTGACCAAGGACCAAGGGTGTGTAATCCGTTCATAATTTTTTTGCTATTTGATATATTATGACATCCCGTTTTCAACATCTGTTTGATCTACTTTTTTACATAATTAGTTTCTACGTAGAAAAATATGGAAATTTGTATGAACTATTATACACTGTGTCAATTTTAAAACTTGCAATCGGCAATTTCTCTCAACTGAAAAAGTAATTAAATCAAAACCGTTTTGGTCGTTTCTAGGGCGAATTAAAATGACATGATAAGTGACAAACTTCCACCCACCCTTGAATATAATTAAAAAAATGAAAATTCAACGTCTTCATTTTTGAATAACTGGAAAAATGGCTGTACCAAATAAGTTGTTGAATGACATTTTTGAAAAGCCCTTGTTACAGGCTTTTCCCCTTAAAAACCATCGAAACGGTTTTGAGTGATTCTCAATAACTTTTTTAGTTCTAGAGATACTGCCGATTGCAAGTTTTAAAATTGACACCCTGTATGTCTGTGTCTCTTTCTTGCTTTCATTAAAAAATCGACACATTTACATCAGTCGGCTATGAATATTTTCTGGCAAATTTGTAAAAGAAAAACTTAAAATAGTTTGTACTTTTAGCAACTAGTCGACTTTTAGTTCAAGCATGCAGACACTCTACAGGGTGTGCCAACACACAAAAAGTTGAATCTCTTTTTTAATAAAAGACCCTATATTTGTTTTCACGTATCGATAGCATTTTTCCCAAGCATTTCAACGATTTGGGGTTTGTATACAGGCTGTTCCGTCTAAACCCCACTTTAGAAGTATTGGAAGTTGGAATAATTGTATTTATTTGAAAATTGGTACATAGCCATAAACCTATTAAATGAAAATATTTTCAAGATGGCGGCACTTCCGGTTATACCGGAAGTCGGTCTCAACTTTCTTATTTTAAATGGAAAGGTATATTTTTTACTGCGTTTTTGGATTAATCGGGTTATTTTAAGGGAGTTTTTATCAGCTTTCCCTATACCTAAATTTAGCCGTTTTTGAAATATTTGGAGTTTTTCAAAAATTTTTGGATTTGCACCTTCCACTTTAAAAACCGGTAACTCTGCAATTTTTTAAGATTTTAAATTCGTTTTTTTAGCGTTTGAAAGAGAAAGCTTAGATCCTTTTTCTGGTGTTTTCAAATTTAAAAAAAAAATAGCATATCCCAAAATTTTAAGGTTACTTTTGTAATAATTCAAATACTCATAACTTAATTTTTTCAAATAAAATACCCCAATTTGTATTTTACTAAATAGAAGAGAATTTAATTGTGCATTGATCTGTATTAACATTCCCTATACCTAAATTTAATAATTTTCAAGTTATGGACTTTTTTTAATGCTACAGAAAATTTATTACTAGCCATACCCGTTTTCACATAGTGAAAAATGTCAAAATTGTTTCTCAGTAAACGTCGACAGTGACTTATTATTTGCCAAATAGTGCCAAAATATGGAGAATCAAAGTTATGCGAACTTAATTATTATTGATAGGTTCCACCATGCAATCATTATTTAAAGCTATCAAGTGAGAAAAGTTTATTTTTGTTTAATGAATGATATCATAATTTTGTTACACTCTCCATAAATACAAAATAAATTAATTAAATCTAAGTTTGAGTAGCTTTGACTCTCCATATTTTGGCACTATTTGTCAAATAATAAGTCACTGTCGACATTTATTGAGAAACAATTTTGACATTTTTTATTCCCATAGCAACTATACGAAAACGAATGTGGCTAATATCAGATTTTCGACAGTCTCAACAATAAGTCACCATAACTTAAAAATTATTAAATTTAGGTGTAGGGAATGTTAATACAGATCGATGCAGAATTAAATTCTCCTTCATTTAGTATAATAAAAATTGGGGTATTTCATTTGAAAAAATTGAGTTATGGGTATTTGAATTATTACAAAAGTAACCTTAAAATTTTACGTTTTGTTATTTTTTTTTTTCAAAATTTGAAAACACCGAAAGAAAGATCTAAACTTTCTCTATCAAACGCCAAAAAACGAATTCAAAATTTTAAAAAATAGCAGAGTTACCGGTTTTTAAAGTGGAAGGTGCAAATCCAAAAATTTTTGAAAAACTCCAAATATTTCAAARACGRCTAAATTTAGKTATAGRGAAAGCKRATGAAAATKCCCTTAAAATAACCCRATTAATCCAAAAACGCAGTAAAAAATATACCTTTCCATTTAAAATAAGAATGTTGAGACCGACTTCCGGTATAAGCGGAAGTGCCGCCATCTTGAAAATATTTTCATTTAAGAGGACTTAATGGTTTATGGCTATATACCAATTTTCAAATAAATACGATTATTGCAACTCCCAATACTTCTAATGTGGGATTTAGACGGAACACCCTGTAGTTCATTTGAAATATTTATCGAAATTTTCAAAAAAGGTTTTTTTATAATAGTTCCACTATTCTTTTATGTAGAAACTAATGTAAAAATATAAGTGTTCTATTTAAAAAATATAACTTTGGTTTACCACCCCGTATACCTCTGTGTATAATAAAAATATTTTTAAAATGTGCTCCTTAAGTGGATCTACCTCATGTTGAAAACGGCATGTCAATATAAAAACATGAAAATGTTTATGTGTTTTCCTACTTTAAGATTCGACATTTTATTTGCTACATTTCTTACTTATTAAATGTATTAGTAATAGGTCAAAAACGTGCTGAATTTAGCTAAAGCATTGGTAAGACTGTCGTTTACAAACCCAATGAAGCGTTACAATGAATGCAGTATTTGTATCGAAAAATTCCGAACAAGTTTTACGATAAAACACATGCATAGAAAGCGTTCCGGACCATTTTTCGCAAATCCTTATAATCATATCTCTTGTTACACAAACCACTATACAATTGCTCAATTGAGATCAGTATGTATATGTTGAAAGGATTTTCAAAATTGCGTGAGATTTTTTATGTCGAAATTAAATCAGTACTGTTAACACCTTCGAAAAGCAGTTCATTATCACGTGTTTTTCAACAAATTTCGTCATTTTAAAAATCATTCTCATAAGAGTCATTTTAATCGCCAAACTTGGGGGTTTGCGGTTCCACATTTTTTGTAATTTTACACCGCCTTCCAAACCAATCTATTATCGCTCACTATTGTGTAATTGCTTTAAAGCCAACTAACAATATAGACTACGCAACTGTTCTGGAGCAGATACTATCATATTTACTATTTTCGTTTGAAAATAATGAAAGGGGCCCTTGCCCTAGATCAGGGGTACAGTGGGGCGGCTTGTTATAAAACACACTCAAGCTCGCAGACAAACCAGTCAAAGTCTAGTGCCTAACGCAACTAAACAAACAAAATGTTCAAATTTGTAAGTGATGAGTGACTAATTCGATGTGGATAATTTGCTGTTGTTATTGTAGGTAGTCCTCGCTATGGCCGTCTGCGCCGCCAACGCTGGCATCATTGGCCACGGTGCCGTTGTGGCCCCTTTAGCTGTTGCCCATGCCCCTGTAGCTGTAGCTCATGCCCCCGTCGCCACCTCATACCAAAACTCTAACCAAATTAGCGTCCACCCAGCTCCAGTAGTTGCCACCCATGCTGTTGCCGCCCCAGTTGCTGTAGCCCATGCTCCCATTGCCGTAGCTCACGCCCCCGTTGCCTACGGAATCGGACATGGTCTTGGACTTGGACTTGGCCATGGTCTTCTTCATTAGGGGCCAACGGTGAAGAGATGAGCAACGTTTTATCTATAGGAACATGTAAATTTTTATTTATTTCTTTGGAAATTTTTCGGAAATAAACGATCCATTACAAATATTGTGTTTTAATTTGTGTTTGCATAAGAAATAAATTATTTTATATTTTCATGGCTTTGACATTTTTCAAGTTTTAATTAGTTGTCTAATTACAAATTTGATAAAACAAGAAAATAAATTTGATCGCAGATTGTAGCAATTTTAATTAAAAAAGCTTTCTGAAATTATCTAGTCATTTAATTTTATTAAACATTTTTCATTACGTCGTGGCAGTTAGGATAAGAAAGAAACTAGGCAGAAATTAATTTGATATTTTAAATAGTTGTAATGTAACTGAAGAATGTAATAAATGCATTAATAAAACGTATAAGATGTATACAAATTATTTTAATAAGAACTGAGAAAACTATGTAATATAATAGTAACAGTTCGTTGAATAAGTAAATAAAATCAAAGGAGTTATACACGTGGTTTTGAAAAAAAAAGGAAAGATTTTCTGCTCCAAAACTTATAATTCTCAATTAATTTGCTATGAACAAAAACACGATTAGCCCGTCACACCAAACTTTTATTTTAATAGCACAACGCGTTTCAACCACAAAGTGGTCATCCTC